TTAGGTGAACGAAAATGCTCAACTACATTAAAACACGTAATAATATGTTAGAATAAAAATGATAATTATGAAATCACACGAAATTTATGAATGTTTACATTGCAACCCAAATTAACGATTAAAAGACATTGTGTTCCCCATGAAATCTGTAGCTCCTAGCAAAAAACCCATTTGTGTGTAAGGGCAGGGGAGGGACAATGTTGTAGGTTGCTCAGGAACCCCAAGAACTAAGTAGAAAAAACTATATAATTTTTATATATTCCCAAAACTTTTTATATGACATAAGTTTATAATGAAAATTACTTCTAAAATACCTAAAAAGAGTGTGAGCTGAGTTGTTAAAGTTAATTCATGATTTGATTTAATAAAATATGAATTATCCAATATTCACTTCAAACCATAAACATATTTATGATAGTCATTGGAAATTCCATCGATTTTATCATGAAACTTCACTGTATATCAACATGACTCTATCCCTGTTCAGTTCGAGTTAACAACTCTTTTAAAGTGTAATGTAAGCATACAAAAATGAAGTATATATGTTTTTTCTTCTCTGTCTTTTGGAGGAGAACAAGAGGGGATTACTTTAAACTGTACACATCAGATTAATATCAGAAGGGGGTTTTATGAAAATTTTAGTAATTTTATAGTTGAATCCATGAGTCAATTAAAGCTAGACCATCATGGAAAACATGGAAGCACTGTACAACCGCTTCGTCCCAGTATGGGACCCCTCAGCAGTGCGCATCTAGGATAGCGCCTCGCAAGATTCGAACTCAAGACCTATCAGTCTCGCGAGTGAACGCTTAGCCTCTAGAAAATTGAACCAACCAGCATCCAATGGTGTTAATATCTAATTTCAACCAATCCACGAAATCGAGCCACACATCCACCATTGTCTTCAATGAGTTACTATCTCACAACAGACCCAGTTGAACTCCACTGGTCACGAGGTGGGATCGTGGATATGCCCTGCTGAGGAGACTCATACTAGGACAAAACAGCCGTTCAGTGCTTACAGGTTTTCCATAGTGATTTAGCTTCAATTGACTCATGAATTCAAATGTGAAATCATTAAGATCTCCAAAAAACCCCTTCTGAAAATATTAATTTGTCATACACACTATGAAAGTGCGATTCCCCCAATGTAAATAACTTTTTTAATTATTTACCATATTATGTGGATATATTTCCACACACACACACACACCAATAACAAAACCCTTTTTCTTAATCAGTTAATACTTAACATAATAATCCGTTAGAAATAGATATTTTGTTTACACAAGGTGACTAATATACCCTACTTCTATATATATATATATATACTTATAAACAAAACAGTAGGATAACAAATATTGATTGATTAATGTAGAAAAGAAAAATGGAAGTTTCTGGAATCAATCTGTTGAATATTGGAATAATAAACGTTATCATTTTCATTGAACAATCTTTTCAATGATTAAGGTAAATTAATTGTGAATGGATAAATTTTTTGATAATTTGTTAAAAATAATAGTTTGTATATATGGATGTTATAACAACATAATGTGATGTAACGGAGAAAGGAACAAATACTTGTATTGTTTTGAGGACCATATGATGAGACCGTTATTGCAGAAGTAATTGTATTATCTAATCTGATTATTTCGCCTAAATTGCACGTATAGGACCGATGACCTTCTAGTAGCTAATAAACATCATCTGATTAATAAACTCAATGAGAGTAAGACAATGACCATGATCATCAAGACATAAAACCTATTGGTCTATGATGCAACTTCCTATATCTTTTAGTTTGATAGCCCAAATACAACAAGAACACAACAGACAAAGAAACTTTTATAATTCAGTACAGAACTTAAAACTTGTCCGACAGTATAGATCAATTGGTTGACTTCATACTAGTACTAATAGGAATATACAATTTTTACATGATTACACCATAAATAAAACAAAAATGAACAACAAGTTTATAATAATGTTACATTAATTTGAGGAAGGTTTCTAGGTTAAAGTTAAACGAAAACTTACAATCAGAAAAACATATATAAAGAATAGATAGATTAAGGACATTTGATTCGTGAGTTACCAATATACTTTCCTTTATGATTAGTACAATGCTCAGGACAGGGTTGGATGGAGAATGCTGGTGAGCGGCCTATGCTCCTTCACGAGGAGTAACAGGCGTAAGCAAGTAACTTTTTAAAAAAAAAACTACACAAGGACTACATGTTGTACACCGTGAACTAATCTAAGTTAGACGAACATTGGAAACCTAGGAGAATCATTAAATGGTTGCATTGTTCGAGTATGGGTAATCCCATATTGACATTGCTTTTTTGCTTGTTTGATATCACTTGTTTTCTTACTATTTAATATAACTTTTCACTCCATTGTTGGTTGATTGATCTATTGTTATTATTATCAGAACGGGTTTTGTGGAGATTTTTAGAAATTTCACAAGTTGAAATCATGAGCCCATTGAAGCTAGACCACCATGGAAAACCTGGAAGCACTGGACGGCCGTTTCGTCCTAGTATGGGACTCCTCAGCAGAGCGCACCCACGAACCCGCCCCCACGGGATTCGAACCCAGGACTTACTGGCTTCGCGCGCGAGCACTTAACCATTAGATCACTGAGCCGGCATCCAACGGTGTTAATGTCTAACTTCAACCAATCCACGAAGTTGCGCCACCGTACACCATTGTCTTCAGTGAGTTCCTATCTCACAACAGACCTGGTTGAACTCCACTGGTAACGACTTCTCACTAGAACTACAGGAGTGTCCCCTGAAGTCAGTCACTAGTGAGCAGGTTATTATTATTATTATAATCAGAATGGGTTTTGTGGAGTCGTGGGTTCGTGGATGAGCACTGCTGAGGAGTCCCATACTAAGACGAAACGGCCGTCCAGTGCTTCTAGGTTTTCCATGGTGGTCTAGCTTCAATTGGCTCATGATTTCAATTTGTGATCTATTGTTGTTGTAACGAGATAAATACTGAATAAAATTGAACTTTAAAACTATTCTACCCAAAATTACTGTGTATATACTTATGCTATATTATTATTAAATACTTATTACTATCATCATCATTAGATTTTTGCAACCTCTTAATTGTAAGCTTTTCTATGATGTAACTTATTGAAGTTACTATTATTTTATTACAAACATATTACTCAGTTCTATTCCAGTTAAAGTTTAATTATGCTCCAATTGAAGCATTTTAATTATGTTGATATGTGGTAAGCATTTAACTCTAAATTTTTGTGTGAGTTGAGTCATGAATATGAACTGCATAAACGAGGAATATCTGTTTATTGTGTAGTGTTCTCAGTCATTTAGTCAGCTACAATGTAAGACAAGGCACATATATGCATCGGTTCAAGTTGCCATACCCTCATTAACACAACAAGATGAACACCAAATTCATGGAAGTAGTTAATTCAATGATGGTAATATATAAAAGAAACATTGCATATGAAAATATAGTACAGGAAGGAAGAATTACTTGATAGAAAGAAAAATATGAAGCGGTTTTCATCTCATAGTTTAAAGGAAGACAGAAAGTGTATACACCCACACCATTGTGATCGATTCTGAACCATGTCACACAAAGTCTCCAACCATTGGTTACGATAGTCACGTGGACCCCAACCAAGTAGTCTGCATCTACAGACATGGCTGAGACCAGAAGTCAGTGACTTCAAGCACTGATGCCACGTTTTGGCTTGGTCGCCCCTAACTTTCTTCCAACCATTCCGAACATCGGTTAGCATTGCACGTCGTCGTAGTCCTTGTTCAGGCATACGTAACACGTGGCCCCACCATCTCAGTTGATGAAGATCTACAACCTCATCAACTGATTTATCATCAGTCCCTAATAATGTGTAGTGTTCTATTCTGATTATCATGTGAAACAACACAGGAGAACTACATTCTAGACCAATAATCGCTCATTTTTATTCTCAGCTGTTATCTCATAATAATCATATCACAAGTACTAGATAATTTGTAGACAAATTAATCGATACCTGGATTGGATCAATACAACTGCACTCCCGTAATTATGACCTGATCTCAAGGGCCCCAAAAAAGGCTCAAGAAATCTGTTTTTTCGTACTACCTACTTATTCATCTACCAGGTACGGATTTATGTTGTCAGCGTCCAACCACGCACTTAGCGTTATTACTCAGTTCCCCATATTGAAATAACTGAGATGGGATTTAAACCTGAGAACTAATGGTTGGAAGTTGAACGACCTAACGTCTAAGCCATTGCATCCCACTCTCCTACCGTTGCTATGATAATCTTAATTTCTTAAGTTTTTATTGATGAGAATACTATTCATTATAAAGTGGTAATAATCGGAGAAGGACTGAGAAAAGTAATATTTCTAGCTAAATACAATAATTGGAGTGTTTAAATTCTGCTTCGCTCAGTTCGGTTTGAACAAGTTACAGAAGAAAAGAGCAAATACTGATAATCCATAGTATTAAGGTAGTAGTAGAACGTAACATACTAAAATTTGATCACATAGGAAACAGAGAGAAACGAATTTGGTAAAACGTTTTTAATAAAGAACAACTCGCCTAATATATAGGTCGTACTAGTCACAGATTGATTTCAGGCAGGGTAGCAATGGATATCAGAGAAAACTGTATAGCTGTTTCGTTCGAGTTTGGAACTCTTCAGAAGTGCGGACTCATAGCTGATACCTTGAGTTAAACCCAGAAACTACGAATATCGCGACGAATGTTTAGCCGTTGGGACCGCAGGATCTGCATCCATTGCAACAATTCCGATTCCAATAAATTTGGGATATATACAGTTCAACGATCAATTACTAACAATAATGACAACTGTTTAAATCTCGATACATCTGAACGTTAAGAATATCTTACAGTAAATTACTAGTGATATCAATCTGTAACGAGTACAACCTATAAAAACAGGAAAATTAAACGCCACTAAACCTCTGAAAAATAATTTACCTAGTAATTGAGCAAATGTTGGTCTAGCTTTTGGTTCATGTGCCCAACATGCTCGCATCACAGCATCGTAAATTGGATCTGGACATGCATCTGGTTGATCTAACCGACCAAAACGTGGTGCATCGATCATTTCTAATATTTGTCGACCGGTAAGACCAGCCCATGGTGTAAATCCATAAGTGAATATCTCCCATAATGTAATACCATAAGCCCATATATCTGAATGTATAGTAAATAATAAATCATGTATACATTCTGGTGCACACCATGCAATCGGAAGTTTAAGATTAACATTGAAATTTGATTGGTAATATGATTTGCCTAGTTGAAGAGCCCGACTCATACCAAAATCGCTAATTTTCACCTGTACAAAGAAAATAAAAGAACAAAGAAATATTTAGGTACTGAATTGATCGATTTGAACAATGATAGATTAATTTAATGTTCTTTTATGAGTTTAAGAAATATTACGAAAATTAGAATGCCGCGAGTGGGATCGTGGATGTGCACTGCTGCGGAGTCCCACAATAGGACGAAACGCCGTCCAGCGCTGAATTAATCAACAATCGGAATCATGACTATTAAATTTAGTTATTTTCAAATGTAAATGTACAGGACTACTAAATAATTGACATAAAATGATTGGAAGTAGTTGGTAGGACATCTTACTTGATATAGGATTCCATGTTGGTTAGCAGATTACACATTGATAGATAGAATTCAATTAGCATTAAGGACTAGACTAATATGAAATTGAACACTACTTAATAATCAGTCAGTGGTAAACGACTGATATAACTCGATAGCCAGTATATTGATCAATACTTGGAGCCTCGAGTTACGACTTCCCGTTACATCTTTAGGGACTTTAATACAGAAAGCGGTATCAGTGGTGCAGAATATGAAATTATTAAAAGAATAGGAATCCAATTTAACAATTCTGTATACACGGATAAGTTCTTTTTCCTCGACGGACTGAACTCAGTTAGAACATCATTGCAAACCAGAAGACATTGAACAATTATTTCGTTTTCCTATCTAACTATTCAACAGTGTGCATCTACAACACTGATAGGCATTGAACCAAGAAGCATCAAGCTTCACAGAGAATACGTTAATATTTCGGCTACTTCAGTTGCCTACCATCAAATAGTCTACATTCCCAATTTCAATCGGTTTGTGATATACCATAACCATCATCTATATTCAGGCACTAAGAGCAAACTAAAAGCCATATAGATCTCCAAAATGACTGATAGTACAAACCAATTGCCCAAACCTGTAACGCAGGACTTCATTTCGAGTAACTAAATCTATTTGACTAACTAAAATCCCATAAATAGATAATATAGTCAATTGAAACAAAAAATTGCACCTTTCATATTGTTAAATTATCATCTTCATATAAATATTAATTTCATTTACGTATTTGTCGAAAAGAAAATCTCAGACTAGATTGTCAAGCAATACATTGGATTTAATTCAAATTCATTTAGTGAAATTTTACAAATACAACATTCTTCCTCTTTAAAAGTTAAGGGGTTGCAGCAGACACAAACACACACACATAAATACAAACGTAAACTCAATTTTGTACATATTCCGAATGGAATTTCAAAATGTATTGTTTTAAATACATATATCCATCTTTACTTATAAAGCTTGTGACTTAAAGCAATATCGAGGCAATCCGCACAGCATGCACATATAGCCAACAAGAGACTGATCAATTACAGTCCTAAGCAACAATGGGAAGGATACAAGCAAACAACATCTAATGAATTTAAATGAAACATTTGTCTTTTTTTATAATAAGTTATATAAAAGAAAAGCATTGGATTAAACAAATCCATTTACTAAACGGAATACACCCATTAAGACATTATATAAAAAAGATAAGTTCAGCGAAGAGTTCTCCCCTTTTCGGTGAATTCATTTTCAAAGCTGTACAATTACAAATATACATACTTATATTGACAGGATGATAATAATACTGATAATAAACTTCTGTTAAACATGGTAACAGTGAGGTAAAATAAATAAAGGTATTAAAGAAATTTTCTTTCTATAAAACAAGGAAAGTTTAATAATCGTTTGATTGTTAATGGCTAAAGTATTCATGAAAAAAAAGATAGATAGGGAAATTATCATTAGGAAAGGATGGTTCAGCATGATAAGATAAAATGTTGAAATTGAATTTAAATGTGATCAGAATGATCGTGGAATCAAAATAAACCAGTTGGAGGATAGAGGATTTAAGGGGAAGATGAAAGGTGAAGCAGATGTCTGTAAAGGAAGAAGAGTATGAAAAAGAGAAAAAAAAATTATAAAACATTAAGATCATGGTAAAAGAAGAGGTTGTACTAGTCTCTTACGTACAAACAATTCCGATTTTTCCAGATGTATGGCTAATGCTTCAGCAATGCAAATAAGATACAGTCTAATTGTCTTTGGAAGAATTCTACCTACCTTGTAGATGACTTTGAACACAGAGTCTGTCTTGACTGAGTGACCTGTGTTTAAAAAGTGTTCGATTATTGGATTTCTTAGCAAGCCGTTGCCTCCTCTTCATATATATATATATATATATATATATATATATATATATATATATATATATATATATATATATATTTCAGTTAAAGAGGTCCCTCTAATTTTTATGATGTAGGATTGTTACTAGTTTTTATTCTGAGTTATATCTAATAGCGTTTTAAGTTACTGAATTGTTTCAGTTTTAGGACACCAAACAGGTAATAATAAAGGACCAGCAGATATCAGTCTTGTACAACTGAGAAAAAGTTCATTAACTAGTAGTATGATCAAGTGTTTCACATCACGCTAACAAATTTAATATTAGTATTGTCTATGGAAGATAATAAAAGGAGTGTAAGTCTACCACTACTACTATGGTGTATGTCACGAATGCTGACAGATATAAGTAGTATGTAGCACCAACCGGAAGTGGAATGGCTGACAGCAGAAGATTAAAATGAAGAGGAAAGGAAGTGAATCGGAGCGGAATCAAAATAACAATGGAATTAAAGAAATAATGGAGTTTGTAAAGGGTAACACAAAGATGTGCAAATTATGTATTTAATGCATGATTTTCATATTTTACAAACACACTCTGTAATTTTGAGTTAAACAATAAATCGGTTTTTCCCACTGTTAGCGGAATATAGATTAGATCAAAGCATATTCCGTGCAGAATTGTGCTGGTGCACGCTGATTTGCTATTTCTCATCCAATCAGCGCTAGTGCATACTTGGAAAAGACTCTAGAACCTACTTGTGTAAAAACTATAAACATACTAACATTTTCCCTATTTTGCTTCCTACTTCCATTTGCCCTTTTTATTTGAAATATAGTTTCGTTACTGTTCAAGCGTGTTCTGATTTGAGGACTTGTCGAGTGAAGTAGTATCCAAGATAACTAAGCAATAGGAATAGCTGAGTCGTAATACGAGAAATTATAACACCCACCAAGTCTTCGTTCACTACACCACTACGTTTCGGTCACCTCTGAACTACATCCATTTTCAAGTATGTAAACTAGTGATAACAACCGGTAGTTCAACCGAAAAAGGTCTAATAGGTATGTTGTAACCAACAACTTTAATCATTTTTCTGCTAAATAATGAAGTTATTTTTTATTAAAGATTTTGTTCTAACCATCTGGAGTGATTCACAAATGTTAGTGTAGAGAAGCTCAACATTTCAGATAAAAAAATGCAAGAATACAGATGATTTTTGTATCTTACAAAATAAAACTTGCCGGTTTGAAAGATTTCAAATGTTTACTTTACACGGAATCAAACATATAACCTTTCCTTCAGGATTCCAGTTGAATCAATGAATCAAAATATGAAGGTTCACACTTCACAACCTCATTTAAATTTAGTAGTATAGTGTGATTCTTATCCAATGTTACTTGGTAAAATCCAATCACTTTGTTAAATCCATCTACAAACTTATTATTGGTGAATAGACGATTATTATTCATATTATCGGGATAATAATAATAATAATAATAACAATAATAATAATAATAATAATAATAATAATAATAATAATAATAATAATAATAATATCAATTGGATAGTTCAGTTTTTGTATTGCTTACAATATCTTTTGAAAATACTAGAACATTTCTAGCCGCCAAATCACGATGTACAAGACCACATTCTTCTAAATAACTCATTCCTCGAGCAATCTGTATTGAGAATTTATGCAAAACAGGAACAGAGAAACTGGATCTTAATTCAGATTCACGTAAGCATTCTAGTAGAGAGCGAAGTGGAGCAAGTTCAGTAACCTAGAAATATATACACAAAAGAAATGTTACAAAAATATATCAAGCATCAATAACGAAATCGATAAAAGTGAAATTAACTTCTGTTAAGTTTAAGGGGAATTCATAACACAGAAACAGTCAATGTTATAATAAACAAAAATAAAGTATTTAAGTAGACAGCCCGGTGGGATTTTAAGAGAAAGTTTCGGGTTTCATTGTGCACATCAACATTGGAAAATGCAGGTACGTTTAGTTGAAGTCTCAAATAGGATGAAACACACGTCCAGAACTCAGTTGCTAGACACGACCAAGGTTTATCATCAGGTGATCTACATTTGGTTTATGTTGGTGTAAAATGATTCATATTAGTATCAAGGATAAAGCAATATGTTTTTATTAAAATTGATCTGCTCAATGTTTTTTTAAATAATGCCTGAAAATGTGGGATTTATGATAAGGGATTTTGTCTTGGATGATAAGTCTAGAACAGAATAAAACGTTCCAGATTTATTTATACATAATTTATACAGATACGACTGATGCTGAGACGAGTAGTTATGGTCTATATATGCAGTGCACCGTCGCTAGATAATAGTATTTCATTGGTCTAAAGTACGGTACACTAGTAGTATACCTGGATATAATTGATTTAGATAGTTATTTTTTGAACTATTTAGATGAATTTAAAATACTTTATATTATTATTAACTCCGTCTGGAGCCCCTTTGAGGCTACTGCCGGTCCCAAGCCCGGAGGATTGGGCATGGGGTTAGCAACCCCATCCCGTAGAAAACGTACTCGCTAGAAAAAACGCTAACCAGTAAGTAAGTTGTATATTTATTGATATGGTGGATACATTATAAACATGTTATTCAGGTCGAGTCTCATTAGTGAACTTATGACCTACAAAATTTGCATCTTAAAATCACTTCTGTCTTAAGTAACTTTCAAATTTGTTAATTTTTATGCTAAACATACCAACATGTTAGAAAAAAACAACTTTTCCTGTTCAGTTGTGCTGTTTTTGATATCAGTCTATTTAAAGACTTAAGTTGCTAATTTGAAGTAAAAGACTGTTAACATTCTTGTATTATTACAGATCACTTATCAACCAGTATATCTTGCTCACAACAAACTCAAGGTTATCCTTTCAGTAACAAATATTCCCACTATCATATATCTTAAGTAATTTACCCAGCATTTACCCTGTTTAAGCTACATGAACTATCTAGGTGAATCACTGTGAACAAACAAATATATTCAGTTTCGAAAAATATACAAAACAACCACCTAATTATTTAGATCAATGTACTTTAACCAAAATTGTCAATTAACATAAGTGGACTTCAACTATTCATACTGTTTATTAGTAACATATGATATTGTGAAGCTGTTGTTATTAACATTATTGATGTTTTACTCTTGGTTTCCACTCATAATTTCAAGCATATTTTCATCAATTTTACTTAGAATTGTAAATACTTACATTTTAATTCTGGTCATTAATAATTATTCAACTTAATAGCTGAGATTATGAGTCAATCGAAGATAGACCACAATAAAAAACTTGGAAGTACTGGATGGCTGTTTTGTCCTATTGTGGGACTCTTCAGTAGTGCTCACCTACGATCCCACCTCGCGAGACTTGAACCCAGGACCTATCGGTCTCGCGCGCGAACGCTTAACCTCTAGACCACTGAGCCGGCCAGCATCCAACAGTGTTAATGTCTAACTTCAACCAATCCAGGAAATTGAGCCACACATCCACCATTGTCATCAGTGAGTTACCATCTCACAACAGACCCAGTTGAACTCCAATAGTCACTGCTTCTTATTAGAACTCCAAGAAATACCTCTTGAAGCCAGTCACTAATGAGCACATATTGATCAATATCTGTAGTGATGATCTCAACTATTAAAATTACTATAATATTCACACAAAAAAACCCTACTGATATGAATTATTCATCTATTACATACACTACGACACAATACTAATTAGACTAGTATTTCAATATTAAAATGCTTAGTCATAAAAAATTTACGGACAAATAACAACAAATAAACAAATAAACGAATGAGAGAGAAAAAAAGAAACACTGTTCAAGTATTTCTATTGCATTATTTATCTGTTGTCGATCTGTTTACACAGTGTGTGTGTGTATGTGTCACTTAAAAAAAACACATTTCAAATAATTCTATACATGTACACACATGAACATATGAAGGAACAAATGTATGAATGATATATTAACGTTATCGACATAAACAGTTGAATGTTCAATGAATCAACAATTATATCTTAATATCAGAAGGGATTTTTTGTGGAAATTATAGTAATTTCAATAGTTGAGATCATGAATCAATTGCATCTAGACCATCATGGAAAACCTGGAAGCATTGAACGACCACTTCGTCCTGTTGTGAGACTCTTCAGCAGTGTACATCCACGATCACCTTTCGTGAGATTGGAATCTAATATCCACAGAAAAATCCCTCCCAATATTAATCAAAATATGCCCATTGGTGACTGGCTTCAAGAGGTATTTCCTGGAGTTTTAGTGAGAAACACTGACTAGTGGAGTTCAACCGCGTCTGTTGGGAGATAGTAACACATTGAAGACAATGGTGGATGTGTGGCTCAATTTCCTGGATTGGTTGGAGTTAGACATTAACACTGTTGGATGCTGGCCGACTCAGTGGTCTAGAGGTTAAGTGTTCGCGCGCGAGACCGATAGGTCCTGGGTTCAAGTCTCGCGAGGTGGGATTGTGGATGTGCACTGATGAAGAGTTCCATACTAGGAAAAAACGGTCGTCCAGTGCTTACAGGCTTTTCATAGTGGTGTATCTTCAATTGACTCATGATTTCAACTATTGAAACTATATCTTAAATAAAATCCATAATATATTAAGAATTGCATGTAAGTTTATATAATTGTGATTATCAATAATGTTGGTGTTCAGTGTAGAACACCAGAGAAATAAATCACTTTATATATAAATCAGTTGAGATGTTGGTTGGAGAAAGAGAAAAAAGAAACAATTGAGTTTAAAATGGAACCTTAAGAAACCTAAGATTTAGATAAAATGTCGATACAAGCCAACAACTAGTTGTTGGAACGAAAATTTGTTGTAATGATAGAAACATCTAAGGTTGAAGGGATTATAGAGTTATATATTGATACTTCACAGACCAAGCCAAATACATCAGTGGTTTATCGGTTAAAGGAATTAGCTTCAAAAGACTATACCACATGATCGAACCTAGTTTCACCTATTTTGGATTTGAGTAGCCAAGTAATAACACAAACAATGTGGCTTAAAGACAGATATATATAAATCTACATTTGGTAAGTGAATATAAAAATTAGTAACAATTCATTCCTTCTACTACAATTTCTAATGTTATCTAAAGTAGATTGATGAAATGCTTTAAATTGACTATATCGAATTAAGAAAATAAATTGCATAAAGTAACTCATTGCCATTTTCAAATGGTCCCGAAGTTTCTGGCTAAAAATTTTTATTAGATATTAGAAAAAATCATAATATGAAGATTTATACAAGTTGGTCATGAAAATTCCTTTTTGACTCTATCTAGTTGAATTTTTAACTCCTACTGGAGCCTCTCTGGGGCTACTGCCGGTCCCAAATCCAGATAAAGAAGGGTAGGACATGGGGTTAGCTACCCCATCCCGTAGAAAACGAACTTGCTAAAAATAACGCTAACTTAGTTGAACTTTTGAGGAATATAGCACTTCTTAAATTATTCCACAAGTCTAATCCCGAAAAAGTTATTTTAAACGGTATTGAAAACAATGCAAAGGAAGTATCCAAAAATAACGTTTCTCATAGTTATGAAAATCGAAAATGCTTACTGTATGGGAATTTTTGAGTAAAACAAAAAAAGACTTAAAAAACAGTAAGTAATGCGTATGGATTTAAAGGGGATCAAACCATTCGACGAACAAGAATCTATCACAAATCATCAACCAAATTGAAAAGGACCAGTGAAGGATTTTTTTATTATTAATGCCATCGAGCACTTTTTTGTGCTTACAAACACAAATACACAGACATACCTTAAGGAATATATATATATAAGTTTAGAAAGAATAATCTGAACGAGAGTGACACCTCAGAAGTGCACAAGCGTCGTGAAGGCTCTTTTCTCAAACACTACCAGTTGAGTCAGAGCTTACGACCAAATGTCATCTGATTATGCAACTTCAAGTGGTTTCCGGTAAGGCTGTTCATTATATTTATTCTTGTTTCATTTCATCATAGATCTACTGATGGAAATAACTTTCTCGTCGGCTGAGTTCTCGGGAATTGAAATCCTAATAAGACATCTATTTATTCACCTAGAATACGAAAATCACATAGTTCTGTTTGATGAAGACGCTGATAAAATGCAGTTTTTAGGTAGCATTGAGCAACAATGACAGGATTTTTAGAATGGGTTTCTCTCCATCTAAATGCAAATTGTTGCTTCAGGACTAACCTGCGTCAACATCTGAACTGAGGATATGGAGTGAAGTAGTCGAACACGTCGACAACTTCACTTATCTTGGAAGTCTGATCAGTCCTAATTGGTTGGTATCTGACGAAATCTATACACGGTTTCAAAAAGCTCGTTAGGTTTTTGCAACCTATAGCGACCTATAGCACCTATAGCGAATGCGAGATATCCATCTATCAATTGAAGGATGAGTATACTGAGAAGCAGTTCGTTCTGTTCCATTTTACGGATGCGAAACGTGCCCATTAAAGATAGAGGATACTCATAAGTTACCAATATCTGATCATAGATGTCTCGAAAATAGTACTTGCATTTGGTCAGACCACCGGGAGGGGTAGGTAATCGGCAGGTTAGAAGCAGAGTATTAGGGAATGGTGGTAAATCAGTTGATGAGGTTGTGAATCTTCATCGACTGAGATGGTTGGGCCACGTGTTACGTATGCCTGAACACTGATTACCACGTCGTGCAATGCTAACCGGTGTTGGAGATGGTTGGAAC